GGCTGTGTTAAATCTGACAAGCACCAAGGAATCCCAGAAAGTAGAATTGCATCCCCTAAGCCGGAGATGGGGGAACCTGTGGTCCTCCAGATGTTGCTGTACTACAGCTCCCTTTATCCTTCAACCCTGGCCATGCTGGCCCAGGCTGATAGGAGCTGAAGTCCAACAACATCTGGAGGGCCAGAGGTTCCCCATCTCTGCCCCAAGCATGGCTGACTAGGAAAGAGGAGGATGAGAAACCAGGGGGCAGTACCAACTGGTCTACCCACAGCTGCAAGTTCTGGAAACTGATTGAAAATAGAAAAGGGATTAATAAAATTTAACTATAAAGTGGGGAAATGTTAAGTTGCAAAATTGTAAGGTAAACCTGCAGCAGTCCTGTATTTATAAAAGGCCAGTTCATTTTTTATTTAGAATTCCATGCATTAATAATTAATTCTGTGCACTAATTACTCTCACTCCTCCCCCTAATTTAGAGATATCTATGATGCATACACCTCTCTGGTTTTTAATATTTGCATGCTGAAGTAAATGTCAGAAATTTGGTGAAAGTTGGCACTTACCAGCAATTTGAAGAAGCAGTACAGAAACGTCAAAGAAAATATCTGAACTTTTACCAATAAATTGCAAAGCCCATCTCCATCATGTACAGCACCATAGGTATAAAACTTCAGAAATGTTGAAAAATTCAGCTCTGTAATTTCCTGCTGGGATTTGTATACTCTCACCAACCAATGTCAACATTCAACAAGTTTCTGACATTTGCAGTAACATACAAGGCATTGTCCTTATCAGACTTGAGTGAATGTGCCCTTTATTTTCACGAAAAGTAATAAAAAACTTACAGAAGTCATATATGCATATATATATATATATATATATATATATATATATATATATATAGGTATACTCAAAGTAAAGTGAATGTAGAATGTCCATAAAAATAATGGCAATTGTATATGTTCAGATAAAGCCAAGGGGAAATAGCAAGGGATTTAAATACACATTAATATTAATATACTTGAACAAGGGTTTTATGAACACATTAATATTAATTTACATGGTGTATTAATGTTACTGGTAGAGTGGACTGGCAATCAATGGTCAGTCAATGCACACAGTCTTCTTTTGTACAGAATTCCTGGAGAGGCAATACATATTACCCTGTAAATGTAATCAATCAATGTAAACATCTGTAATCAATTCACATTTTCTGGCATCGCTTGGGAATTACGCATATTGCCCAGGTAAACTGCAAAATCCCCTGTTGGTGCCATTAATTCATACACATTACCTGCTCCTTTACGGGATTGCATACAATCCCCAAACCTGCCAACTTGCATTAACAGACTGTATTTCAGCGAATGCCCAAAACTGCTGCGTTTCATGGATGTCTCAAAAAAAAGAGACGTTCCCCAACTACTTGGACGTATGCCAGTGAATGCTGTCAGCCACATTCAGGAGACAGTTAAACTTCAGAGGTCTGTCTCTTGAGTTTTTAAACATTCATGGAACTTGCCTGAGATTGACAGCATTCACCACATTCCAGACACTCAATGTAACATATCATTCCCTCTGTTTCTGATGTCCAGGCTGTGAGTGCCGGCGCTCATGTAGCCAAAATGGTACCACCCACACGCAAGAGGGAGGAATAAGCAGGGGAAAACAATCCTCAAGACAACTCAAAAGAAACCAACACCCACCCAACAACAACAACAACAGCCCAATGAGAACCGAGCATGCTCATTAGCCACACAATGCAATTGATTGTTGTTTGGGGGGGCAGGGATGTAAACCAGAAAAGTGAGGTGGCTGGAATGAAGACTCTGTTATCCTGAACTTCAAACTGTACCATTTTGTTGAAGGTTGCATTTGCATCTCCAAAATGTCCATTGACAAAAGCTATATTATGAATACATTAGCCTCCCTAAACCAGCGATAGTAGCTTTGCCATCCATACAGGCAGAAAACAAAACTTTCTCTTAAACAATGGAATAAACATCCTGATGGGATAGGACTCGTTTGCCGAGCTCTATCCATCTCCCCCCTCCCTGCTGAGTTTCTACCTTTTTTTAATGTGAGACCCCCACCACACTGTCCCAGAACAGCAGCAATACTTCCCCAATAGGTTGACAGAAGACGGTAATTCATTCAAATTATGCAACTCTATTCCCAATTGCTGGCTGGCCCACTTCCTCGTCTTACGGCAGAGCACGGTGTCATCCATCCTTTCAGCTTGGCTTGCCCTCGGTTGGGGACAAGGAAAAATATTCAGCAACTTTTGTGTTGGAAGTTGCTGGGTGGGGGTGGGGGTTAATGAAGAAAAGCCAACAGAATGTGGATGTCAAAAGCCTGATCAAAGTGACCGAGGAAGCCAAAAGGATTTCTTTCTTATGCACTGGGGGGCCAGGCAGTCCCCACCACCACCACCACCTCAACATATTGCTCGTATTACCGGACACATTTCAGCATTTGGCTCGTATGCATTTCGTGACAAGCTAGAAGCAGACTGGCGCAAGAGTCTAGCTACAGCAGACAGATCTCTGGTTTTTCCAGACAGATCATCAGCAAGAAAACAAGCAAGCTCATAGCACCGGAGGCACGAAGGAAGCAAAGCTGAATGAATTCTGATTTCTTCGCCTTAAACCCAAAGCAGCAAACTGGCATAAAACAGGAGCCTCCAGAGTCTCATCCGTGGCCTACTGGGACCTTTACGAAAGAGAACAGCCCCCCTTAAAACAGAAAAAAAAGCCACACACACACACAAGCTAGCCTGTTATTCTGCCGGTGCAAGAGTCAAACCCAAACTACAAACCGTCACACGGAGAAGGTCACTACGCTGTGAAAACATTAACGGCATGCTTCTCCAATTAAGCCGCGCAGACACAATAAAAAATAAATCCCGCACAACCACCTGTAATGATATGCCTGTTCAAGCAGCAATTTCTAAAGTACCAAGCAACACAAAAGGTAGACATTTTCTGCAGCTGGTTTGGTTTGTCAAAGGGGGAAAAAAAAAGAAGGAAGGAAGGAAGGAAAAGAAAGAAAGATGCACAGTCCTTCCAGGATTGCCGTCTCGTCTCCTCTTACCTTCACGTTAGTCCGGAGTGCACAGTAACATGCAAAAAACATTGCAGTAAGCAAGGAGCATATGGACCAGGACGCAGCTCCTCTGCTCTGCACAAACCACACACACAACCACACTAACACACACACACGCAATCCTCAGCATGTGCTACTAAGAAGCATTCGTTCTCTCTGTCAGTTTCAAATGCATTGATCTCTGGGCTTTTTCCCCCCTTTTTTTTGCTCCCCGCTGACTACAGGAAAGACATGTCTTGAAGGCACTGAATGAAAGCTACACGTCTCCTCTTCCCTGCCTCTACAGAGCATCATGCCCAGCAAAGGCAATTAGGAGAGATTTCGGCAGCTGCAACTTGAGAGAGAGACCTCAGTTGCTTTGCATCCCAGCATTTTAAAAAACCGGTGAAAAAGAAACCAGGAGTGAAGCGATGCCGGGGGGGGGGGGGAGGTTGGAAGAGGAGGAGGAAGAGGAGGAGGAGGTGGAGGAAGAAAAACGAAGAAGCTTGCCCAGGGAGGGTGGGGGGAAAGGTGAGGATTTAAAATTGTAACCAGCTGAGTCGCTTATACTTCCCAATGTCTTTGAGGTTTTGTTTGTTTTGAAGTGTTTCACAAATGCAATCAGTGTTAGATGTTGGGGTGGAGGGAGAGAGAGAGAGACAATAGGGACCTCCTTTCTATTCTGAGGTTGCAGTCTGCAATGTTTCCGTCTCGCCTTGCTCAAGATGCAGCGTCTCTTTTAACAGCGGCAACGTCATCATCACCCATGACAGATTCAACATGTTCCACTTACAAATACACCGTCTTATTAGGGACAGCGCCGGGCTGACTTAAGAATGCTTCTCCGGACACACAAGTTCACTCCCTCCCCACCCCCGGTGCTAATCTGTTTTGAAAACAGGGAAGGAAGAGTAGGTCCCAAGCTATTTGCTCCCTCTCCTCCAGCAAGATAAGCAGAAAGGCTGGTTATGAAATACTGGTGGGGGATGTCGTGGAGGAAGCGATTCCAAGATAGCTCACTGACACTGATGGCTTTTAAACGGTGGAGGCAATTTATACGCCTCAAGAAATGATGGGGGAAGCTGTGAACATGCCGAATTCAGGGCTGGGTTATACTCTCGCGTTCTGGCACCGGCAATTCTGAATAGGTCATGTCCAAATATATGCCAGGAAATTAATGCCACAGCCCAACCAAGAGGCAAAAACCTCCATTCACAAGTATGCGCAGCAGCCTAGTTCTCATTGAGTTAGTAAATCTGTTAAGTGGGCTCTACCACTTTTGACCATCAGTGGGAGCTCATGATTTAGTGTTCAGCCTTACATTCAAAAAAACTACAACCCTTCTGCATATTGACAATTAGGGTCTCAGATTTCCTGATATGAGGGGTCAATGTGCAGGAAATCGTTTTGGAAATAAGGAGCATTCAGTCACATGAGCACCCAGCTAGAAATAAATGGTACATCCCATATTAGGGATAGGCGAATCATTCAATTTGAGTTTCTTTCAGTTTCTCATTTTGCCACTGTTAAATTTCTGCGCCAGATTATGATTTAAGAACAATAACAATAAAATAGTCCTCGTGAAAATTTATCAGCATTGCATTGCAAATTTCTCCTAATTTACACGTTTGCATGCAATTTTGTGCCACGCACACATTTTTGCAAAGCAAATTCCCTAGTATAATGCATTTTGAAAACTATTTCCACGGGTATATGCATTTTTATGTCCAGTATATGACTTGGTCGGAGAAACGCACAGCAGAATTTGAAGGAGTGTGCATTTCAAAGGACCGCTGCGTTTTGGTGCATGCACTGTTTTGGAAAGCGAATGTTAGACAGGGTCACCCTTGAATGCGAACTGAATTGAATTTCTCCCCATCCCTAGCCCAGACACAGGCTTAACAATCAGTGAGAAGTAGGCCAGGATAGCTCAGTTGGTAAAGCATGAGACTCTTAATCTCGAGGTCGTGGGTTCGAATCCCATGTTGGGCAAAAAAAATAAAATATTATGTATTACAGGGGATTGGACTAAATGACCCTCGTGGTTCCTTCTAGCTCTACAATGCTATGATTCTATGAATCAGAAAACTCCCATGGACCCTGCTGCTGTCACTCTCATGTCAGCCACTACAGTTTCTTGGACAGGGGAAATAATTCATCCAAAGAAAGTGCAATATACCCACTGCACACGGTAGAACAACTCCTTATAGATAGTCAGAAACTACTAATACGCACGGTGGATTTTGCAGCTGTCTTCAGAAATTAAGCTGGGGGAGAGGGTTGGGGAATGATTTCTTACCAACCCACTGCAGCACATATTTCAAGAAAATTAAAGTGGTAATGTTTGGCTCCAGCCTTCCCTATCAGCACCCAGCAAATTGTGTAGGATAAGCATAATATCTGCCAGTGGCTTTTAGGATTTCTTTAAAATGAGGAGCTTTTGCACCAACCTCTGCAAATTCATAAGAAGAGGCGAGAAGGCTGAGGAAGGGAAAGTCTGTCTGTCTGTCTATATGTAAAGGAATAGAAAAGTAACCAGCAAGGGAAAGGCAGAAGGAGGAAGGAGGAGAAATAGGAACAGCCACCTTCTCCCCCCCCCCCCCGATGATTTTTCCACTCAGAAAATGTCAGTCCCAAAGGAGGAACTATTCTTAGCCCAGCATTGGTCGTGCATTTTTAACAGGGATGGGTAAACAAATCGTGTTTAAAGCTAGCAAGTTGCCTGTACTGTACATTGTAGCAACTACTTAATATGTACTGCTGTCTTTCATTAGGGGGAAAATCCAGGTGGGTGCTAATCAGAAGCTCTTACAGCTTGAATGGAGAGCCTGAATTCTCACTTCTTCTTCTTCTTACAACTTTTAGCAAGTAAAAGATTGGTGGTCACTGCAGCCCTTTTGTTGAAGTTCCTGGGCTTTTAATGTTGCTAGTGGCCGCCCACTGCAGGAAGCAGGATGGTGGATCCTTTGTAAAACTGCCCTCACTTGCTCTCAGTCTCTGCTCTAGTTACCGTTTAATATCTACATGAAACCACTGGCAGTAGCCCTCTGACACTTCAGCCCATTAATATGTAGATGACAGGCATCCCCACCTCTCCTTTCCATCTTCTAATCCTGGGGAGGCTCTGGAAATCCCAAGATGATGTCTGAAGGCAATTTTAGATTGGATGAGGGCAAACAAATCATGGTCACACGCAGTGCTGGCCCACCCGTGAGGCAGACTGAAGCAGCTGCCTCAGGCAGCTGAATTCCACAGGGTGGCACCCTGTGGGTTCCTCTGCTTCCCACATGCCACATCAGCCATATGACCCTGGTAAGCAAGGCTTTCGTGAGGGGTGGCACCTTCCCTCAGGCGGAGAAATGGAGTGGGCCACCCCTGGTCACCCAAACTCCATGTTCATGCATTCAGACAGCATGGGGGGAAGTCTATGCACATCCTGATTAGGGGTGGCAGAGGTGGTTTTAGGGTAGCGCGACTGGTTTGGCTGCACTGGGCACTGCACTGCACTGCAGGGGGTGCCACAACAATGCTGTAGAACAGAGTGAAAGACACAGGGGGCGCCAAATTTTAGCGTCGCACAGGGCATCACTGAGAATAATAATAATAATAATAATAATAATAATAATAATAATTTGTTATTTATACCCCACCCATCTGGCTGGGTCTCCCCAGCCACATGAGCGGCTTCCAACAAAGTATTAAAATACAGTGGTCTGTTAAACATTAAAAGCTTCCCTAAACAGGGCTGCTTTCAGATGTCTTCTAAAAGTCTGGTAGTTGTTCTTCTCTTTGACATCTGGTGGGAGGGCATTCCACAGGGCGGTTGCCACTACCGAGAAGGCCCTCTGCCTGGTTCCCTGTAACTTGGCTTCTCGCAGCAAGGGGACCGCCAGAAGGCCCTCAGCACTGGACCTCAGTGTCCGGGCAGAACGATGGGGATGGAGACTCTCCTTCAGGTATACTGGACTGAGGCCATTTAGGGCTTTAAAGGTCAGCGCCTTTAAATTTGAGAGACCAAACTCGGTCACTGGAGGTAGATGAATCTGTCAATTTCCATTTCTCATTTTCTTCAACCCTTAAGTCAAGTTCTCCACATCCCCACATCAGTTTGCAGTTCTAAAAAAGTCCCCATTAAAATTAATCAGCATTTTAGTGCCCGTTTCTCCTTTTGCTGTCACATCTTTTCCTAACACAATGCATTTTTGTATGTTATCTTCACTAATACACATAATGGACGTTTTACCATTGCATACATATTACTTGGTGGGATAACTGCATTGCAAAATTCAAACAAGTGCAAACTTCAAAGGAGGATTGTGTTTTTCATTTGCTTAAATATTTTCATTAAGCATTACAAACAACAAATATAGCCACACCAAGTTATGCTGCCTGGGGCTGGTGGCAACTGTAGACCAAAGTACCCAGAAAGCAGCCAATTGGGGAAGTCTGTAATAGGAAGAAGCAGAGGCTGCCACAGGGGGTTGGAGGAGCACTTAGGAAATAGCAGCCTAGCTGTCTTTGCTGGGAGACACAAAGAAGTTCAAAGAAAAAAGTTAACACTCACACAATCATGAACAATTTATCCATATCAAAATGCTACTCCCCATTGCAAAAAAGAGAGAGAAAGGTAAATATTTTGGGCATGCCTAAATGACACCAAAGGTGGTGTTTTGGCAGAAAGTTTTTGAGTGTGTTGGGGGTTTTTTAGACCTTTTCAACATCGCTTCCAGCTAGTTGTCTGAAAAATACAAGTCTGATGCAGTAAAGATGCGAGAAAATAACAGAGAGCCCTAATATATCTCAGGTCTAAAGAAGGAAAGTGTCACACAAAGATAGAGAAGGGGTTCTCGAGGAAATGACTTCAGTATGACTCTCAAACAGAGCAGCGGCTTCGAGAAAACAGTTGTTCTGGCTGATGCTGCCAACTGTTCCATTAAGGAACAAACAAATCATGTCCTCGAAAATTCTTAGTCAAGAAATCTCAGGGATCTGATTGAGACATGCATGGCGCCGTATACTTCTATGCTGCTGTTTTATGGGGGGGGATTATTGCTTTTGCAAGTCAAAACTCAAACTGCATTCATTCTCCTTTGACATTTGGATGGAACAATTATGTTACTCTCACCTTTGTGCAATAGATCCAATTCAAGCAGTGCAATAGTCCGCTGTTTCCAGACACACACACACACATCCCTCATCCAGGCAAGCCAGAGGCATTGTCACAGTTCAAGAACACATTCCAACCAGACAAAAACAACTGAGGAGAGTGCATATGGGGTGAGGCCTAGGGAGAGTACCAAGGGCCAGGCAGAAAGGATTGGGGGCCGCATTTCTAGATCTAATTCCTGGCCTGGCGAATGGTAAGTTATTGCAGAGCCTGTGTGGTACAGGGCTCAGAGTTGAAGCAGTAGAAAATGAAAGAGAGAGGTCTAGGATCCAGTTGTGGCTCAGTAGGTAGAGTGACCTTGGGCTACTCCAAGCCAGGCCACTCTCTCTCAGATTCACCACAGCAGTGTGGCAAGGATAAAACAGGTGTTTGCAGGTGGGAAGCAATGGGTCCTGCCCTGAGCTCCTTGGAGAAAGGGTGGGATAAAAATATAATATTATATTATAAAAATACAGTAAATGGTCTTCCATGCATGATGATGGCCCCAGCAGATGCAGCCAGACAAAGAACAATCAGGAATAAAACACTCAGGACTAAAATACAGTATATGAAAAGACAGGACAACCTTCCGCACTTGTACAGTGGTACAGTGGCATTTTTTTTCTAAAAAATTATCTCTAGATGCAAAATAGCCATGGCATAAAACAGCTTCTGAACACAAAAGAAGGATGGCGAATACAGCTTAGCAGCCTAATACTGGCAGGCACTTTCAGTTGCCAAACATCAAGATAAACAAACTTCTAAACAGGATAATGTTCAATACACACTGTGAATAATTCAGCAGCCTTAAACAGTCTATTGCAGGTGAACACCACTTTCAGTTGCCAAATGTGCTTTGACCATGCACCCTACTTCAGTGTTAGGTTTTGACATGTAAAATAGAGGATCTGGGATGGCAAAGGCTCCCAAAGTCTCCTACAGCAAGACTTTCCCCTAATTATCTGGCAAGTTGCATCTACAATGTAGTTGATCACATATATATTTTGTTCAAAAACAAGGGGGAAACATAAATGAGCTTCAGATATAAAATTATTTTATAGCTTTCATTTTAAGAGCATATGCTCTGATATAAGCAAGCTCCCTCCTGCCAACCTAGCAGTTCGAAAGCACGTCAAAGTGCAAGTAGATAAATAGGTACCGCTCTGGCAGGAAGGTAAACAGCGTTTCCGTGTGCTGCTCTGGTTTGCCAGAAGTGGCTTAGTCATGCTGGCCACATGACCCGGAAGCTGTACACTGGTTCCCTCGGCCAATAAAGCGAGATGAGCACTGCAACCCCAGAGTCGGCCACGACTGGTCCTAATGGTCAGGGGTCCCTTTACCTTTTAAGCAAGCCCCATAATTTTGCCTGAGCTAAAACAAAATGAAAAGGGCATGTAATAAAGTTTTAACTACCACAGAGGGTCTCCTGCATCACTTCAAGTGGTCTGTTCCATACGATGCAGGAAACCAACCCTTAGTGTGGTTGCCCAAACCTTTTGGAAGCGCCCCCCCTTCATTACATATAAGGCAAGCTTCATTTCTAAGGTCTTTTCAGGATCCACTGAATACCTTGATTTTGCAAGAAGTCTTTTACGTGGATATTGCGATCCAAGTCAGTATCTGCACTGGATCTGAAATACAGTGGACACTCGGGTTGCGAACGTGATCCGTGCAGGAGACACATTCACAACCCGCAGTGTTTGCAACCCGCAGTGGCGTGTCTGCGCACATACGGGTTGAAATTCGGCACTTCTGCGCATGTGCAAAGCTCGATTTAGCGCTTCTGCACATGCGCGGCCGTTCCGGTACTTCCATGTTTCAGCGCGTCCGTAACCCGAGAAAACGCAACCTGAAGCGTCTGTAACCCGAGGTATGACTGTAGTTACCTATATGAAATTGATCTACATGTTGTTGTTGTTATTTGTATAGCACCCTTCATGTGAAGATCACAGGGTGGTTTACAGCACAAAAATACAAAATGAGGACGCTTAATAACAAACAAAACAATACCCCCTCCATCGTTTAGAAGGCAATATACTGTTTAATTAGTCAAAGGCTTAGGAGAAGAGGAATGTTTTTGCCTGGTGCCTAAATATATGTAACAAAACCACCAGGTGAGCCTCCCTGGCAGAGCATTCCACAAGTGGGGAGCCACCACAGAAAAGGCCTCTTCTCCTGCTGCCACCCTCTGGACCTCCCACGGAGGGGGCACACGAAGAAGGGGCTCGGGCGATGATCGCAGGGTGAGTTGGTTCATATGGGGAGACGTGGCCCTTGGGGAATTTCAGTCCTGAGCCATTTAAGCCTTAACAGGTCAAAAACAGTACTTTGAATTGACCATTGAAACTAATTGGCAGTCAGTGCAGACGGGCTAGGAACGATGTTATATGAGAGTGATATAAGACTCTTAATCTCAGGGTTGTGGGTTTGAGCCCTAGATTGGGCAAAAGATTCCTGCATTGCAGGGGTTTGGACTAGATGATTTCTGTGATCCCTTCCAACTCTACAATCCTATGATTCCAGTCACACAAGACAAAACTAGTGAGCTGCATTATGCTTGAGGGAATGATAAGTTACACTGGCCTGTCCCAGGTAGAATATAAACAGCTTTGTTATCCATATTTTCCCCCACCATCCATAGAAATCCAACCGGAAGCCACATTTAGTATTTTCCAGGGATTCTAGACTATGGCTGGATCTCTCAGGATATGAATAGAAATGAAGAATATATCTGAATTCCCTGCAGGAGAACGAGAGTTCCTCAAACCCAAATGTTAAGGCAGACTATTCAGAAAGCAGTTTTATTTTTAAGGCATCACTGTCTTCCTGCTCCTGCCCCGAAGAAGAGCCATACTTTCAAAAGAACCAGCGTCACCCTGACCATGATCACGTGTGGTTCATTATTTTGACTGCCTCCGGCAGATTAGAGTCCACCGCAGGGACCGGATCTGCTACGCTTGCTGGAAATAGCAAAGCAACAGAAAGCCCTCAGGGCTTATTCCTTTTCTGGACAATAAAAAAAACCCCTATGTTAGGTATAAACCAAACTGGAGGGAGAAGAGGAAATTTAAAAAACCATTAAACCTGCCAAGGAAAACAAAGAATTTATTTATGTATGCTACAACAGCAGCAAGAGTCTTGATAGCACAGGGATGGAAGAATGAGGAAACCCCAACGAAAGAACAATGGCAAGAAAAACTGATGGATTATGCAGATTTGGCCAAATTGACCTACAAATTGCAAGACAAGGACAACTGTGACTTCATGGAGGAATGGGAACTTTTTACAAACTATTTAAAAAGACAACAAAATGAACTAGACTCCTTGGCAGGTTTTGAATAAACACACACAAATTTATTGGTTGATAACATGACGGATAGATATGTAAGGATATGTACAATTTTATAATATGCAGAGAAAATATGTGAAGAGAAATCAGGGAGAGGAGCTGAGGGAAGTCCTTGGGGGGAGAGAATAATGTATGTGATTATATGGTCTGATAATTTGTTATGTGGAAATTGATCAATAAAAAATATTTTTTAAAAAAAAAAACCTTTAAACGCACACCCCTCGCAGAAATACACCTGCAGGTTAACATGGGACTGCAGAAGACTGCAGTATGAAGATGAGAAATAAACATCAGGTCTGAAGCAAATGGTCACTTGCACAGATGGAAATGTGAAATGTGGGGGGAGGAAAGAAAGTAGCGTGGAGGTGAAAAGATTCTACAAACACCCACTTCCCGCAACTGACTTCTTTCCAGGACTAGCCATAACTGTATTGGGCTAGATCAGTGTTTTCCAAACTTGGGTCTCCAGCTGTTTTTGGACTACAACTCCCATTGTCCCTAGCTAGCAAGACCAGCGGTCAGGGCTGATGGGAATTGTAGTCCAAACACAGCTGGAGACCCAAGTTTGGGAAACACTGGGCTACTATAAAAACCAATGTCCTGAATTGCTATGAGCAGTGCTTTTTTCTGGGGGGACGCAGGGGTATGCATACCCCTAAACATTTTGTGAATCTAATAGAAGAAGAAACTTAAAAAAAAAAATTAGTTTCTTCTCTAACATCGTCAGTTCCGTTGCTACCCCCGATGGCGGCCTCATTTCCTGTCATGGTGTTTCCTGAGTCTCAGATGGAATGAGAGTACCCCTAAACATTTTTTTAGGGGGGGAAAGCACTGGCCATAAGACAGCTTCACAGTACCTATACGTATTTTTAATTTTATAATCTTATTAACTGCATGGTAGATGTCATGTCTGGATACTTGAAAAGCAGCTTTCACCAGTCAGGGCAGATGTTGCAGTGCAAAGTATCTGGCCTTTGTTAAGGATGCTGATTTGATGTGAACCACTCCAAGTCGAGCATTTCCTTAATTCTCCCATTGAAGCCAATATTGACTAAAAAGGTAACTTTGGCTGTATCATGCTGGTTTTTTTATAATAATAATAATAATAATAATAATAATAATAACTGTGATAGTGTGTTATGATTCTCAATGGCAATATTTGACAGTTGTCATGACTCTTATCTGGTGACACAGACATAATTTCTTCATTGTTCTCTTCATCTGTTCAGCTGCTAAGATGATCATATGTGTCCCATCTGGATACTGCTCTTCCCCAAGTCAGTTGATTACCAGCTGATTATCACTCTGTGCCATAGGGACACAGGAAGCTGCCTGTCATACCTCTTATTTACCAAGCATATTACTTCGCTAATATGCTGTTCTGTGCAAGGCCATTTGATGCCATCCCCACAGCCCTTTGCAGCACCAGCTTAAGCTGGGCTTTGGGGAGGAGGCTTGAGGTTCTGGCAGGGTCCTAGAGCCCTCCTACCCAAATCCCTGGTAAGTGCTTGACTGGGAAGGAGACAAGAGGACTCTAGGACTCTACCAGAACCCTCACGCCTCCTTTCCAAAGCCAGGCAAGCCCTCACCTGGCTTTGAGAAGGTGCCCTTCTTGGCTGCAAACCCAACGTGACCACACTGCTTGCATTGCCCTAAATCTGTCCCTGCACCTAGCTCAGTATTGTACAGACTGAATAGGACTGGCTCTCCAGGGTTTGAGGCCAGGGTTTCCCAGCCTACCTGGGGATTGAACCTGGGACCTTCTGCATGTGAGGCAGATGCAATACCACTGAGCTATGGCCCTTCTCTGCCTTCCAGCCATGCTGGGAAGTAGGAATGAATGAATTAGTCTATTACTCGTATGTTTGTCCATAAGTCTATCGCATCCCGTTTCCACGTCAGGTTTCTAAAACACTCCGTCTCTCAAAACGAGCGTTTTTAATGCATGTTATGATGCTTATTTATTAAGCCGAGAACTGCGCTAGAACAACTGGGATGTGTGAAAGTTGTCAGATAGCTAAGTTTCATTCCACTCATTAGTCCCAGAGGTGCAGGTCAGATCAATTCAACATGGAATGCACAGAGATCAAACAGCCAAGAATCCTGAATGACAAATTGAAAATATCTCCCTGTTGACTCTTTGGTGCATGTTTACACTTCACTGTAATGTTGATTCCTCCTAAGTGCTTCTCCAGCACTCTCTCAAAAGGAAGAAGACTGATGGGTCCTGAAGATGCCTTTTTCAAATTTCTCTTGGTCTTGCAGTACAAACATTTTGCTAAACACCAGAAAACTCACTTCATTCACCTTGCACTCTCCAATACCCAGATGGATTCTCCAATAATAGATGTTTTTGTTGTACATAAGTGTTAGTGTCTCCAAGCTCAGGCAACGATCAAAGAATTCAACATTGTCGTGTAAGGTTTAACCTTCCTGTTTCTGATGACAGCAGATGTATAATCACATCCAGGGAGCAAGCGGAAAGCAGGAAATGGAGATCACATTTTAGTGATGGGTTGCATTTTTCTCCTGCCTTCATCTAACATGGTTTAAGAAAACATTTTTTTCCTTTTATTATTCCATTTGTATGCCATCCTTTCTCTCATAGCATGCCTCGGTGGTATACAGGATGGGTGGGATTCACTTAACCAACCCCATCAGCAGAAACCCTATGCAAGAGCTCCTACTTGCACAATTAGGCTTTCCCCCCTTCTCCCTCTGTGCCCCACAAAATTGTCTTGGGGGGGTTGGGAGAGCCTCCACCTACCAAACAGCACATGGGGGGGTGTCGATCCATCTGTTAACAATCGGAAGAGTGTCATGTTGGATTCCACCCCATGAAAATGCAATAAATATATAACACATACATTTCCTCTCTTTTATCCTCACAATGAGAGGGAGTCCTTGTTGGAGTTTCATGGGGATTTGAACTAGATATCTCTGGTCCTGTTCTGACCCATTAACCACTGCTTCACCAACTGTTTTTTCTGACTTTAGCAAACTGGATAGCATCTAGCTATACAAATGAGGTTCGGCGGCTGCATGATAGGACCAGGTGCTTCTCATGCCCAAAGAATCTCACTGAAACAGATTTGAAACAATGCAATGTTGATGTCATTATCATTTGGCCTTCGCCATTCTAGTCCTGCTATGAAGTACACTCCAGAGTGATAGCCACAAACAGAATAGTAGCAAAAATGTAATGAAGTAGTCTATGTCATAGGAATACTGAGCGTAGTCAGAACTAAGGCAAGGTCATGTTTAGAAGTATTGAACTTTCATCAGAGAGATCCACAAATCCTTGCTCACTGGGTCAGCTTGGCCCATCACTTAATCTCAGCCTACAGGCTCGTTGTGAGAGGATGGAGATAGGGACCACAATACAGTGGTACCTCAGGTTACAGACGCTTTAGGTTACAGACCTCGCTAACCCAGAAATAGTACCTCGGGTTAAGAACTTTGCTTCAGGATGAGAACAGAAATCGTGCGGCGGCAGTGGGAGGCCCCATTAGCTAAAGTGGTACCTCAGGTTAAGAACAGTTTCAGGTTAAGAACGGACCTCCTGAACGAATTAAGTTCTTAACCCGAGCTACCACTGTACTGATTTGTTACCAAAATGTAACTTCAAAAAAGAAACATACTCTACTCAAGGCAACACCTACAAAATTTCCAAATGGTGGTGGAAGACAACAGCTTCCATGGAAGCAGGAAATACAGCAATAATTAGTTGCACTTCTAACATTTCCAGAGGAGTATGCAAGGCCGGCGCTACCATTCAGCAGAGTGAGGCAACTGCCTTAGGCTGCTTCTGCTAAACACTTAAAAAAAACTCAGTGTTCTCTGTGAACACTCGCACTCTGCCCCTTTCAGGGGGAGCAGCAGGATGTTCGTGAACCAAAATATCCCACTTGAATAAGAAATGGTCCAAATGGAAACAATCTCAATAACTGGTCTCCTTCAGCCTGCATTTGCGGGGCAGGTTTATGCATGGACCAGATCATAATGAACAACCTCAACATGTTTTCAGATTCTATTGCTGCCTTCTGTAATATTTTCAGTGCTTCTTGAATAACATCTAGGCTCATCTGGGGACAACTCTCCATGCATGCTGTTGCCTGAATAGGTAGTTCATCACAAGTGACAAGCTCAATACATGGGTGTTTTACCCATTTCAGAGCATGTCATCATCCCAAGCACATCAGTCAGCATAACCAATGGCCAGGGATGATGGGGTTTTTGAGGTGGCTCTGCTGAGAAATTGTTGTGTGTTGTATGGTGCTAGTCTTTCTCTTCTTCTACACACAAGTACAGAGTTACACTGGTAAAATAGGTCCCCAAACCCTAACTAGATAATCTAAGACAGAGAAAGAAGGGAAGGGAAGGGAAGGGAAGGGAAGGGAAGGGAAGGGAAGGAAGGAAGGAAGGAAGGAAGGAAGGAAGGAAAGAAGGAAGGAAGGAAGGAAAATGCAACTCCATGTATTTAGAGCTTTGCTATAGTTGGGAATAAGGGACGTGGGTGGTGCTGTGGGTTAAACCACAGAGCCTAGGACTTGCCGATCAGAAGGTTGGCAGTTCGAATCCCCGCGACGGGGTGAGCTCCCATTGCTCTGTCCCAGCTCCTGCCAACCTAGCAGTTCGAAAGCACGTCAAGTACAAGTAGATAAATAGGTACCGCTCCGGCGGGAAGGTAAACGGCGTTTCCGTGCGCTGCTCTGGTTCTCCAGAAGCGGCTTAGTCATGCTGGCCACATGACCCGGAAGCTGTACGCCGGCTCCCTCAGCCAATAAAGCGAGATGAGCGCCACAACCCCAGAGTCGGTCACGACTGGACCTAATGGTCAGGGGTCCCTTTACCTTTTATAGTCGGGAATGAGGACCAAAGCCATAGCTTGTAGAACACATCAAACAAAAGATATGTTTTGAGGAGGAATTTGAAAGACAGGAAATGGGACCATACATAAGTTCAGGATGGGAGCTCTATGCATATCGGGTAGCAACTGAGAATTCGACACAACATATAAAGGAGCAGGAGGGCTCTGCTAACCTAAGGCTGCTCTGGACATAGATTCTTTTCTCCTACTTTACTGGTCACTAGAGATGGATGAACTGATCTGTTTCAGTTTGTCTCTGTTTCTGGTTTATCCAGTCTTTTCAGTTCAGTTGTCCACATTTCTGCATTAGCTTGCAAGTGGGGGGGGGACCCCTCATGAAAATTCATCAGCAAGTTAACACAAATTTCTCCCAATATACACATTTTTGTATGCAACTTTCTGTAATATACTCATTTTTTCATGCATCTTCCCTATGAAAATGCACATTTGTATGTTATTTTCACTAATGCATCTATTGTTACGCACACTTTCCTCCAGGATGCACATTATTGTACATATTGCTGGGTTGGAGAAAAATTGCAAAATTCAAAGAAGTGTGTATTTTGAAAGATCACAGTGTTTCAATTTGCATACTGTTTCAAGAAGTGCATATTGGGCAAGTTCATATTAAAATGAAAACCAAACTTAATTTATCTCCCCATCCCTACTTGTTTCTAGCGCAAAAAGGGCTTCAATCCATATATTGCAATTTGCAGCAAAATACTATACATCTCTACCCAGAAAAAAGACCCGTCGAGTTCCATGAAATTAACAGAGTAACTGTATATAATTTTGCAGTCTTAACCTAGTTGTGGATTAGACTAAGAGGTTTTCCCACCCCCACCTCTGCAAACTGTGAAGGAAGCAATGGAAACCACAATGGCCAAAGTATTTGGAACATGTTGTGAACTTAGTTGATCTTGAATTTTAACAGAGGCCGGCTGGATAAATTATTTACACATCTTCTATCTGTTGTGATATACAGAGGCGTCGCTGACATGCTATCATTATAATGCAAAGGTTGCTATGGCAAATCCATCTCCCCACCCGCTGTTGCATTTTTGAAGACCAGCAAATAATGAATGCCAACCTTTTTGCAGCTTGTCTTCTTTATGTTTTCTTTCCTTCAACTCTCACCCCTTTCTGAATACAGTAAATACTGCATTCCTCTGTCAAGCACTTAACACCCATTTCTGGATCATGTTGCTCTTTAAATGGTTTGTATTCTTTGTGATGTGGGAAGGGGGAAGCGTTTGATGGGATATTTGGAGTAAAAGGCATGCAATTTCCTTAGAAGCAATTTCTTCTCAATTTAAAATGTATGTATTCTTTATGAATTGAGTCTTTGCGGGCAGCATTTCAGAACTACAATGTGATAAGACCACTCAGGCACAAGATTCACAACTAAATAAAGCAGGAGAGAAAGAATGGGGGGGGGGGAGAGATTCACTAAATTGTTTCTGCCTCTTAAAAGCCCAGATTTGCAGCTTGGTTTGATTCAAGAAACTCTTTTTCGTGCAGAAGTTAATCTGACTTGCTTGCTTGCTTGCTTGCTTGCTTGCTTGCTTGCTTGCTTGCGTACTTATTTATTCTATTTATATCCCATCTTTCCTCCAAGGACCTGAAAGTGGCATACAAGATTCTCCTCCTCCCCATTTGATCCTCACAACCACCCTGAGAGGTAGGTCAGGCTGAGAGACAGCCCAAGATGTGTGATCTTCATGGTGCCATAGGGATTAGAACTCTGGTCTCCCCGGTCCTAGTCTGACATGCTTTCCAGTACGTCACTGGTTCTGGATGCTTCCTCTCTAGGAAATTAGCTCACTGGACCAGTCTTGGGGTGGCAGTGTAGCTCACTTGGTAGAGCTTCTTGTTGTTGTTTAGTTGTTTAGTCCTGTCCGACTCTTCGTGACCCCATGGACCAGAGCATG